AATACATACATGGGTGTCAATTCACGGTCGCAAAAAAAATCTTGATGATATACAGCAGAGTTGCATAAGTCTATCCGTCCCCTTCATGTCGATTAATTATTGTGGCAAACAAGGACAGACACCAAAAGGGAACTATGTAAGTAAAAAGGATTTATACTATTCACCGATGCTATTTATTTGATATTATTCAGGACAGGCCACATTCCAATTCACCTGTTCAAATCACATCTTTTATTTCAGATATTTTTTATCAACAAGAAGTAATACAACGATTGGGCCCCTGGTTATTTTTAGTATTTTGGAGAGAAAACCGTGCCCTTTGTTAAGAACTATGATTTAACTAGTCAAATTTCTAATTTCAAGGGGGGGGGGGGTACTGGTGCGATCTGTCTTAATCGCAGATAAATAATGCACCATAATCTTTTATTCAGGCACTGCTCAATTTGTTGAATTATTGGGAATTAAGAGCATAGTGTTCAGATCATCATAGTCGCCTTCCCCTCCCACAAAATTTACAATTTACGACCTAAGATTATAATCCTCTCGCTCATGACTGGACATTTTGGCCGAGGTTTTCTCTCGGAAATGTATATTTTGTAAGTTTATTTCTTTAATACTTATATATCATTACAGCATAAGTATACATGTGTTTATATACACACATACTAAAGCATGTGCACCTGTATACATACATGAGCATACCCACACATACACACACACTCGTACTTAACTGTAAAGCTATTTGTTGCAGTTTATAGTGGTCAAGAACTGTACTGATATTTTTATAAGTATATAAAAGCTAACAGTGATAATTCACTTACTTTATAATATTGTTATTAACATAGTAGCTTGCAGAAGTTTATATACATAACATGTGTAAAGGCAGATTATTTAGAATAAAATATTTGTAGAAGAAACAATTACGCTGTTTATACCAGGTAAGTGTTTCTTCTAAGCACTCAAGACTGTTTCAGTTTTATCTATCAAAAGAATGTTTTAGTGTGGTACATATTCATACTCCATCACGCGATTGGTTGTTGAGATGATAGAACTGTATGTGAGTACATACTCGTATATTAAACTGTCAGATTTGACTACAAGGTGGATGCATATATTCATAACAATGATTGAGTAAGCATATATTAATACATTGCTGAGGTTCATGTCCAGCACCACATGTACCAGATATCTATAAATAAACCTTCTCTCGGAAATGTAGTTATGTCATAATGACCACTCTCATCTTAATATTCATGTAATCATTCAAGTTTTGTAATCAACTTTCTGTTATTGCACCAAAATGGACAAAATAACCTGCTTTGTTCAATTTTATTTTCTGCTTTATTTGTTAGGAAATTTGACAGTTTTGCAGCGTTTTTTATAAGTTTACCTTTATTGTTGCGTTTTGGCTAAAAAAAGCAAAAAAAAAAAAAAAAAATCCTAGTGCTAACCCTGACATGATGGATCATTAACCTGAGATAAATGAAGTGTTTTCCCTTTAAAGTCTTAAAGACTGTGAAGCATGATTTTTTTCAACCTCGCAAAATGTCCATTATTCTACCTCCTTCATTCAAGATTTAAAGAACAATGTGCATTAAGGTCCTTCCTTACTTTCTAATGTATACACTATGATATAGATCAGTTTTTAGGTTTAAAAAATAAATGACTTGAAAATGAAAGAAATCTCATCTGATACTTCAGTTAATTCTCTATCAACAAGAAGCCAAGTGACGAATCACTTTTTTTTCACATTAAATTTTTTACCCATATCTTAATGCATGAGAACCTAAACTAATAAGTTAGATCAGTGCATCTCAAATGTCTCAGACATCATTTTATGTCTTCCTAGACATTATGCATCAGCGTCTGCAAAAACATTTCTAAACATTGCAACAGGGTATATAACAGGTCCTTCTCCTGGAGCAACATCATCTTTCAACTCCTTTTTGATTGTGGCTTCAAAACAAAAACCCCTTTGTTCTCTTGTCACTGTATCTGAATCCTCACCTTCAAATTCCTTCTTGGACTGAAGAGAAGAAACATTCTCACTAAAGCCCTTTTCAAAATATTGGCATTTGAGTGATTTTTCTCCAGTGTGGCTTCTTTCGTGCCGTGTACAGTTACTTTTCACATTAAAACTCTTTTCACAATACTGGCACTTAAAAGGTTTTACTCCAGTGTGGATCCTTTCATGCTGTGTACAGTTGGTTTTCTCCTTAAAACTCTTTTCACAATATNGGGAGCAGTGCCCAAAATAGGGGTTTCTTCAAATTTTGATGCAACATTACATAATGTTTAACAGCATAACGACCATCAATTTTTTATGATAAAATATTAGTATCATGGACATTCAGAAAACGTGACTAGCAAAGGTCTTCAGCACCATGGGACTTTAAAGTCACACCTTGAAAATGCCAAAATGTAAACAAGACAGCACTGTTCTGAAATAGGTTTATTTACATAGATCAACTAAAAAAATTGATGAGATTTTTTTTAACCTTGCAAAATGTCCCTTATTCTACCTCCTTCATTCAAGATTTAAAAAACAATGTGTATTAACGTCCTTCCTTACTTTCTAATGTAAACACTATAACACTATGACCAGTTTTAAGGTAAAAAATCAATGAAATGAAAATGAATGAAATATCATCTATTACTTCAGTTAATTCTCTATCAACAAGAAGCTATTTGATGAATCATTAATTTTTCACTTTAAATTATTTACCCACATCTGAATGCATGAGGACTTATAACTAATAGGTTAGATCAGTGCATCTCAGATTACTCAGATATCATTTTATGTCTTCCTAGACATTATGCATCAGCATCTGCAAAAACATTTCTAAACATTGCAATAGGGTATATAACAGGTCCTTCTCCTGGAGCAACATCATCTTTCAACTCCTTTTTAACTGCGGCTTCAATACAAAAACCCTTTTGTTCCCTTGTCCCTGGATCTGAAGCCTCAATTTGAAATTCTGTCTTCAACTGAAGAGAAGAAACATTCTCACTAAAGCGCCTTTGAGAATATTGGCATTTGAGTGATTTTTCTCCAGTGTGGGTTCTTTCGTGCTGTGTACAGTTTCTTTTCTTACTAAAACTCTTTTTGCAGTACAGGGATTGGAATAATTTTTCCCCAGTGTGGTTCCATTCATGTAGTACACATCCCTGTTTGCTTTTAAAACTCTTTTCACAATACTGGCAGTTGTATGGCTTTTCTCCAGTGTGTGTCCTTTCATGTTTTCTACATGTACTTGTTGTAGAAAAACTCTTTTCACAATACTGACATTTGAATGGTTTTTCTCCAGTGTGGGTTCTTTCATGTGTTATACAGTTGCTTCTCTCAATAAACCTCTTTTCACAATACTGGCATTTGAATGGTTTCTCTCCAGTGTGGGTTCTTTCATGTGTTATACAGTTGCTTCTCTCAATAAACCTCTTTTCACAATACTGGCATTTGAATGGTTTCTCTCCAGTGTGGATCCTTTCATGTAATAAACACTTACTTTTTTCAACAAACCTCTTTTCACAATACTGGCATTTGAAGGGTTTTTCCCCAGTGTGGCTCCTTTCATGTCGTACACATCCGGGTTTGCTTTTAAAACTTTTTTCACAATACTGACATCTGTAAGGTTTTTCTGCAGTGTGTTCCCATTCTTGTCTTGTACACATAATTTTTGTACCAAAACTTTTTTCACAATACTGATTTTTGAATGGTTTTTCTCGAGTTTGGGTCCCTTCGTGCTGTATACATGTGCCTTTCGCACCAAAATTTTTTTCACAATTAATGCTGGCATTTAAAAGGTTTTTCTCCAGTGTGTGTCCTTTCATGTCTTGTACGTTCGCTTCTTGTAATAAAACTCTTTTCACAATACTGACATTTGAATGGTTTCTCTCCAGAGTGAGTTCTTTCGTGTACCGAGGTTTCATGTAGTATACCATCGCCATTACATAACTCCAAAACGATTTTCTTAAAATTGGGCAATTCCATGCTTAACACAGCAGTATCTCGAAGAGAATTTCTTGCTTTAACACCAGTATACAGATGGCTTCTCTCCAGTGTTAGTCCTTTGGTTTGGTTTAGACGTTGGTTATATTAGTTAAAACATATGGTTAAAATATTTTTACGTGAGAATCACTACACAATACATACATGGGTGTCAATTCACGGTCGCAAAAAAAATCTTGATGATATACAGCAGAGTTGCATAAGTCTATCCGTCCCCTTCATGTCGATTAATTATTGTGGCAAACAAGGACAGGCACCAAAAGGGAACTATGCGAGTAAAAAGGATTTATACTATTCACCGATGCTAATTATTTGATATTATTCAGGACAGGCCACATTCCAATTCACCTGTTCAAATCACATCTTTTATTTCAGATATTTTTTATCAACAAGAAGTAATACAACGATTGGGCCCCTGGTTATTTTTAGTATTTTGGAGAGAAAACCGTGCCCTTTGTTAAGAACTATGATTTAACTAGTCAAATTTCTAATTTCAAGGGGGAGGGGGGTACTGATGCGATCTGTCTTAATCGCAGATAAATAATGCACCATAATCTTTTATTCAGGCACTGCTCAATTTGTTGAATTATTGGGAATTAAGAGCATAGTGTTCAGATCACCATAGTCGCCTTCCCCTCCCACAAAATTTACAATTTACGACCTAAGGTTCTAATCCTCTCGCTCATGACTGGACATTTTGGCCGAGGTTTTCTCTCGGAAATGTATATTTTGTAAGTTTATTTCTTTAATACTTATATATCATTACAGCATAAGTATACATGTGTTTATATACACACATACTAAAGCATGTGCACCTGTATACATACATGTGCATACCCACACATACACACACACTCGTACTTAACTGTAAAGCTATTTGTTGCAGTTTATAGTGGTCAAGAACTGTACTGATATTTTTATAAGCATATAAAAGCTAACAGTGATAATTCACTTACTTTATAATATTGTTATTAACATAGTAGCTTGCAGAAGTTTATATAAATAACATGTGTAAAGGCAGATTATTTAGAATAAAATATTTATAGAAGAAACAATTACGCTGTTTATACCAGGTAAGTGTTTCTTCTAAGCACTCAAGACTGTTTCAGTTTTATCTATCAAAAGAATGTTTTAGTGTGGTACATATTCATACTCCATCACGTGATTGGTTGTTGAGATGATAGAACTGTATGTGAGTACATACTCGTATATTAAACTGTCAGATTTGACTACAAGGTGGATGCATATACTCATAACAATGATTGAGTAAGCATATATTAATACATTGCTGAGGTTCATGTCCAGCACCACATGTACCAGATATCTATAAATAAACCTTCTCTCGGAAATGTAGTTATGTCATAATGACCACTCTCATCTTAATATTCATGTAATCAACTTTCTGTTATTGCACCAAAATGGACAAAATAACCTGCTTTGTTCAATTTTATTTTCTGCTTTATTTGTTAGGAAATTTGACAGTTTTGCAGCGTTTTTTATAAGTTTACCTTTATTGTTGCGTTTTGGCTAAAAAAAGCAAAAAAAAAAAAAAAAAATCCTAGTGCTAACCCTGACATGATGGATCATTAACCTGAGATAAATGAAGTGTTTTCCCTTTAAAGTCTTAAAGACTGTGAAGCATGATTTTTTTCAACCTCGCAAAATGTCCCTTATTCTACCTCCTTCATTCAAGATTTAAAGAACAATGTGCATTAAGGTCCTTCCTTACTTTCTAATGTATACACTATGACATAGATCAGTTTTAAGGTTTAAAAAATAGATGACTTGAAAATGAAAGAAATCTCATCTGATACTTCAGTTAATTCTCTATCAACAAGAAGCCAAGTGACCAATCACTTTTTTTTCACATTAAATTTTTTACCCATATCTTAATGCATGAGAACCTAAACTAATAAGATAGATCAGTGCATCTCAAATGTCTCAGACATCATTTTATGTCTTCCTAGACATTATGCATCAGCGTCTGCAAAAACATTTCTAAACATTGCAACAGGGTATATAACAGGTCCTTCTCCTGGAGCAACATCATCTTTCAACTCCTTTTTGATTGTGGCTTCAAAACAAAAACCCCTTTGTTCTCTTGTCGCTGTCTCTGAATCCTCACCTTCAAATTCCTTCTTGGACTGAAGAGAAGAAACATTCTCACTAAAGCCCTTTTCAAAATATTGGCATTTGAGTGATTTTTCTCCAGTGTGGCTTCTTTCGTGCCGTGTACAGTTACTTTTCACATTAAAACTCTTTTCACAATACTGGCACTTAAAAGGTTTTACTCCAGTGTGGATCCTTTCATGCTGTGTACAGTTGGTTTTCTCCTTAAAACTCTTTTCACAATACTGGCATTTGAATGGCTCTTCCATAGTATGGGTCCTTTCATGCGACATGCAAGTACTTTTTTTCGTAAAACTCTTTTCACAATACTGGCATTTGAATGGTCTTTCTCCAGTGTGAGTCCTTTCATGTATTTTACAGTAGCGTCTCCCAATAAACTTCCTTTCACAATACTGGCATTTGAATGGTTTTTCTCCAGTGTGAGTCCTTTCATGTGTTATACAGTGGCGTCTCTCAATAAACCTCTTTTCACAATACTGACATTTGAATGGTTTTTCTCCAGTGTGGATCCTTTCATGTAATAAACACTTATTTTTTTCAATAAACCTTTTTTCACAATACTGGCATTTGAAGGGTTTTTCCCCAGTGTGGGTCTTTTCATGTTGTACACATCCGGGTTTGTTTTTAAAACTTTTTTCACAATACTGACATTTGAATAGTTTCTCTATAGTGTGTTCCCATTCATGTCTTGTACATTGACTTTCTGTATCAAAATTCTTTTCACAATACTGACATTTGAATAGTTTCTCTGCAGTGTGTTCCCATTCATGTCTCCTACATTGACTTTCTGTATCAAAACTCTTTTCACAATACTGACATTTGAATGGTTTTTCTCTAGAGTGGGTCCCTTCATGCTGTATACAGTTGCCTTTCTCGCCAAAACTCTTTTCACAGTGCTGGCATTTAAAAGGTTTTTCTCCAGTGTGTGTCCTTTCATGTCTTGTGCGTTTACTTTTTGTAATAAAACTCTT